CGATTCAATTTATTTTCAATGATGCTTCACAAGTTTCACCATGAGAACTGAAACGTGTGACAAACTTGTTATCGTTTCTATCGTGTATCTAAAATTTGATTCGGCTATTTGTAAATACACAACACGGTGATAAGCACCATTTCGCGTGAAATAGTTGCTAAACGATAAGCAACACACTTTATCTGTTATTTAACAACTGATGTTGCGAGAAGAAGAAAAAGAAGAAAAAAAAAAATTATTTAGATTGCCACGAATCTGAAAAAAAAAAATCTTTATATAAAGCCTTGTACAACGAATGCCTCAATTATAATGTTGTTTTTAGAAATAGGAAAAATAATATTATTCGTAAAATAATTTTAATTTCAAATTAAAAGCAGGGGAAAAAGGATCGATTCTATATTTTTATATAAAAACAAAAAGATTAAAAAATTCCATCTGTTGAATTAAATTAATTCTTATATTTTTTAGAATTTCAATCAAAGTAATTCAAGGATAAATTTAAGAAAGCCTTTTTCTTCCAAAATCTAATCAATTCATAATAACGAGAGAATAAGAAATAAATTTAAACCCGATACACCCGATATATTTCCAAGTTGTATTGTTGGCAATTTTACGTATGAATTAATCACCTTGTACATTCACCAAGATATCCGATGACAGTGATATAGATTTCCTGCAGACTCTTCGATTCGTTGGAGAGACACGCGTGGTCAAGGAACCTACTAACAATACGTATATGCATATTAAACGGTGAATGCGCTATCCATTTTGTGTGTTCACCGCACAGGGTGAACAGACTTCAACCGATGGAATCATAAATCACCTTTGTGAAAGTGTTTTAATGGCGTTGGGACTGCGTTGGCCGACTACCCTTCACCTTCAACTTCGCATGCACCCTTTGAAGATGCATCGTGGTGTTGGTTTTCCACGTGCTTCCTCGTAACTTTCACGTATCTTTTAATAGTAATAATAGTAGTAGTAATAATAGTAGTAGTAGTTTAGTATCCTCCTCGCTCGCGAATTTCGTGATAACGGGACATTTATTTTTCTTACGTTACACGGATCAATATTCATTTACTTATCGCTCCTTCTATTTTTACTACGTTTACTATTCTCTTTAAAATTTACAAATTATCATTATTATTTCCTCGAGTTAAAGTTATTTATATTTCTAATTATTCCTCGATACTATATTTCTAGTTTTAGAAAATTGCATTGCATTTGCATTGTAGATACGACACTACGAGCTAGATAATATGTTAAGAATTAATCGTGTTCGGGGCAATGCGGGGCATAATGATATTAATAAATAAAAAGTC